CTTAATCAAAATACAAAGACTCCCTCTTTGTCGACGCCGTTCTTGTGTACTACGCTGAATTATAAATCTTCACTTTGCAACACGTCCCTTGGTCCGCACGGTTGAAATCCGTTCAACGCTGAATCCCTCGGTCGGCGGATCGACCTCCTCCCGAAGAACCGATCTTCTTTTCATGTGAAAGATGAAAACCTTTGAATATATTTCTCTTCTCGAAAAGGATCAAATATCAGGAGCAACAAAGCGAAAAAGAGCAGAAAATTATTTTTCTCTCTCACAAAAGGGACATCTCAACAACACGCTGGTGCTCCTATATTTATACTTCCTTGGTTGAATAGAAGAGCCCTACAAAAGATTAGAGCCCATTAGGTTAATATCCAATCTACGTAAGGAAAATGAATTGTGTGATAAAGAAAGTCTTTGTCAAGGAAATTCTTTGTTAACACATGACTCACACAATTAAATAAATTAATAACAAAATAAAAGTGTAAAGCATTAAGGAAACTTCCCTAGCTTGAGAAACACGTTTTCACACGTGCTGTAAATAAAGTCAGAATCCTCTCAAATTTTAACAGTGCCGATAACGTGTTTTATGGTCTGTTTAATCTAGCTATTTGACTTGGAAGTACATAAGAATGTAGATAACGTAACGTGAATAGAAATATAGAGAAAATAACAATACAAGAGAGACAATTGATATAGAGATAATTGTGGGATTCATTTAGGGGAATGAATTTTTCTCATTAATATAGGTGGTAATCACCTGAAGTTACAGAGAAAAGTTATATATGGGAGTTACAAAATTAACCCTAATGAGAGGTTGAAAAACCTCAAAGTGGTTAAGAATAAAAAGACCCGTTTTCAACATTTTGTACAACAAAATCATTATTTTTACAATGTCTTGAAAAAATAAGCAGGAAGCCAGTTGGCATCATCATTTAACAATGGATGCTTTGCTCTTATGGCACGAATTGATCCAATAATTTCCTATGTTCTCCTTCTTCAAATCCCAATCCAACAATTTTCTTGCTTCACAATCACGTTTAATTATAAATTCAATAATAAATATTTGGGCAAATTATGAGTATTCCCTAGGTAAGGTTAAATTATGAAAAAAATATCATTTTTATTTAAATAAGGGTAAAGTTCATTTTGCCTACCTGAACTATACCCAACGTGTAAAATACCCCCCTGAACTTCAAAATGAACCAAAACAACCCCTCCCTTTTATTGGTCAACGTTAAATATGTCAAAAAAATTAACACCGTTACTTTATATAGGAAAACCGTTAGTTTTAATGTGATTTTACACTTTTGCCCCCAAAATCTTCTTCTTCTTCCTCCCTTCTTCTCCGTCTTCCTTCTCCATAATTTTTTTAATTTTTTTCTTTTTTCTTTTCCGCATTGCCGAACCTGTAGAAATTGATGTGAAGTTTGGTGGGCTGGAAATGTATATTGCATCCATTTCTTACTCTTCTTACTTCCGATTAAAAATGTATATTTTCCATGGGCCAATTGCCTTTTTAAATTGCCAAAATTTAATTTCAACATCTGGCAATTCACCCTTTCTTCACACACAGACAGAGTAGAGTCAACCGTTACATAGAATTCAAAGTTTCTCAACCAATCTTCCATGCCATTTTTTTTTGCTATACCACAGATGAATTCAATTGCATACTTCTCGATTCATAAAGACACACACATAGTGATTCAGTTGGAAGAGGCGGTGAGCGAACAGCTTTTGGTTGGAAGACCAGCCTCGTTGCGGCGTTACGAACGGCTGACGACCGGAAAACGGATCTGGCGTGGGCGATTGTCATTTAGTTTTTCTTCTTTCTTTTCTTTTTGCAGGGGGATTTCAAGAGGTGAACGATGCAAGAAGGGTTATCTGTAAACCCTTATTTCTTCAAATCCACAACTTAATTGTCAATTTCTCGCGAATTAATTTCGATAGTATCAAATTTTATTTTATTTTTGGTTTTATTGGAGTTTCAATTCAGTTGGATGTTGGTTCATTCGCCGGCGAATGACGTCATTTATATGTCTCGGCTCTGAAAAATCTTATTATTTAAATCTCTTTTTTTTTTCCTTTCGTAAAAGTAATTGTTGACGTGAAGAAATAATTAAACAGAGGGGTAAATTTGTCTAAAAAAATAACAGCTGGAATAAATGTAATAATTAAAAAGAGTCAACATGCCACGTCAGCGAGGGAAGACGGATTTTAAACGGAAGGGCCGTTTTGGTACGTTTTGAAGTACAGGGGGGATTTTTATACGTTGGGTATAGTCCAGGTAGGTAAAATGAACTTTACCCTTTAAATAATTACAACTACCCCTCAACTATGTAATTTTTTTCTGAAAAAATTCATTCATTTAATAGGTAAATGTGACACCATAAGAACGTGTAAGTCAATATATAGTTGAGGGATGATTGTAATTATGCAAACATTTTTTTTTCAAAATTTACATTGCTTTATGGAAGATTGTAATTATACCCAGGATTTTTATTTGGAATCTTAGCATTTTAGAAAGACAAAAAAAATCTAAACCAGATAATTTGAATTGGCATGCTTCAAAAAGAAGATTGTGTAATTACATACAATAAGTAGATATGAAAATACAGATGGCACCAGCTAATTAGTTGGTGGCTTAGTGCTGGCACCCTGACATTAATTTTTATTAATATGATCTAATATAATTGAAGCCTTTATCATTTTTCGATGTTATTACGAATCTTTGTTTAATAGGTACTCCCTACTTTTCATAATATTTGTCAAACATATTGAAAATTTTATTACATGTGATTAAATTTTAGGAAAAACACATGGAAAAATTAAAAAAATAAATAAAAATTCAATAAGGATTGAGCCAGCATAGGGCCGCGAATCCCTATTATTTTATGTAGAAGTATAACTCTTTTTATTATACATTCGACCCCAAAGACTCCAACTCCTGGCTTCGCTTACGCGATAGAAGATAGTTAATGTTCAATAGAGTTGAATTGAATAAAGTGTAAGACAAAACGAGAGAACGAATTTAATGGATTACTCAAACTCTTAAATAGGGATGGCAACGGGTCGGTTCTGGGCCGGGTTTGCCTAAACCCAAGACCCGACCCACGAAAAATATACAAACCCAAGACCCACCCCAATCCGCTTTAGCTTAGACCCAGACCCGCCCCAACCCAAACCCTAACTAAACGGTTCCGACCTGCTAGACCCGCTAGACCCATTAACATACACAAAATTTAATATTTTTTTATTTTTATAACATTTTGCTTGGATATTTTTACAAATAAATGCAATACTAAAATAAAATATTTTAAAAAATCTCTACAAGTGACATAACATGAACAGTAAAATTAAAATAATTATATTTAACTTCGATAATATGTAAAATTCAAAATGCAAGAAATTAGCGGTGGTCGACAAGTGATAAATATTACTCACGAGAAATAAAATTCAAAAAATAAAATACTGAAAATAGGTTAATGAGAATAGACAAGATGGAAATTGATAGTTTGATAAATGAAACTCGAAATTATATATATATATATATATATATATATATATATATATATATACGGGTCGGTTCCGATAAGACCCATAACCCGACCCAGAACCATCCGATTCTAGAAACTTAAACTCATAACCCGACCCAGAACCATTTAGCTGACCCAGACCCGCTCCAAACGGGTCGGTTCCGGATCCAAGACCCGCCAAACCCGTACCCATTGCCATCCCTACTCTTAAATGACAAATACTATGAATCACATAAATTATTTAAAGTAACAAATAATTTGAAATTAAGAAAATATTTTCATTGATCAGATTTCTGTCTGTTTGGCAGAAGAATTTGTACCCCTGTCTGATATATTTGAATTTGAAAATTATACATGCAACATATGTGGCCCTCCACAATCAATATGGTCCATGTTCTAAACTTTAAGAAAACAAAATATCTCTCTCTCATAATATATAAATATATTTATGTGTGTGTGTGTGTGTGTGTGTGTATGACTAGATATTTGTAATAATAATGTTTCAAGTACTAATAAAATAGAGTAGGTTAAGGATATAGTCAAGAATGGTGTTCCTACAAGGCATGTGGCTTCAATCAGTTTGTAAGGAATAATTATGAGTTCAATGAAGCAAATATCTTATTACAAGAAAAATAAACCAACCAATTGACTATCAAAGATCAACATCATATGATACACATATTTGGACACCTTAATACTGTTAACAAGTCACTCACTTTTTTAATTATCAAAAAAAAAAAAAAAGTCACTCACTTTTTTTAATCAATAATTATGAATTTCCTCCAAATATTATGATCTTATAATTTTCTTTCTTTTTATTTAATAATCGTACAGCTTAGACCTATTAGAATGTTTAACAGTCTCTGTGTTCCCAAACTTACAACAACCCTTTTAGTTTTGTTTCAACTAGGGGTGTAAACGAGCCGAGCTTGGCTGTTTTGGCGAGCTCGAGCTTGATCTCGAATCCATTTTGACGAGCTCGAGCCTGAGCCATTTTGTATTTTTTTATTAACATTATTAGAATTTATTATTATAAATTATAATAAAAATTTCAACATAAAATATGACCAGTAATTTTTTTCTTAATTACTTTTATGAATTTATTATTTATTTTATATTAATTATATTAAAAAAAACTCGGGAGCCGCCTCGCGATCTCACAAACAACTAAGAATGAGCTCGGGCTCAACTCGTCAAAAGGTTCGAGCTCGAAAAATTCAAGTTCGAGTTCGAGCTTTTGTCAAGCCGGCTCAGCTCATTTACACCCCTAGTTTCAACATCGTAAAAAGGTCGTTTGCTCCCAAAATTAGTCAGACGAAAATTGGACATTTTGTTATATAAAAAAAAAAAAAAACAAAAAATTGTAAAATACACCTATTGAGAATATAATTCAGTAAAACCAAGACAAATCTGAAATCTAAAACTTGTAAATTCATGAAACTATACAACTTAAAAACAAAGATGAGGGTGGAGAAAAATCTAGAGAAAAAAAAAGGTAGTTGGTATCTTATAAGAGAAGTGGGACCAAAAAATACCAAATCCCCTGTAATAAAATTACAACTGGCTGGTCCTATATATATATTTCTCTCTCCAGATCAACCCTGTCTTCTGCAAACAAAAAACACACACACACACAGTGAATCAAGAAGTATTCTTTTGTTCTTTAATACTGCAAGAAGGAGATTTAGTGTGATAATAGATAGAGAGCCATGGCATTTGCAGGAACAACCCAAAAATGCATGGCATGTGAAAAGACTGTATACCTAGTTGACATGTTGACTGCAGACAACAGAATCTTCCACAAAGCTTGTTTCAGATGCCACCATTGCAAGGGCACTCTCAAGGTTCTCTCTCTGTTCAAATTCTTACATTATTAAATATTTTTTTTTGTTTTTTTTATAATGTTTTAAATGTTTTTCGACAGATCTGCAAAATTTCGTACTTCAAGATCCCAACAAAAAAAATTTCATAACCTAATTAATAATTCATAATCTTGAATTATCTGGAAACATCTGATCTAAGAGTTTGCTTCAGTTGATCTGTGTTCTGATTTGATCTAAGTCGAATAATGAATCCTAATAAAACAATTACATATGTAATAGAATTTTGTATGTATTATGCTAACGGTGTTTATGCGGTTATAATTACAGTTAGGGAACTACAATTCTTTCGAGGGAGTTCTGTATTGTAGGCCACACTTCGATCAGCTCTTCAAAAGAACTGGCAGCTTGGACAAAAGCTTCGAAGGTAAATTAAAATCAAAGACGAAACTGCATACATACATACATATATGTGTGTGTGTGTGTGTGTGTATACAGACGTAGAACCTCGATAAATTAATAACCTCGTTAAAATAATAATTTCATCCGGTCCCGACTCGATAAAAATAATACTAAATTATCAGCTCGATAATTTAATATTTCGCTAAATTAATAAAATTTTGCTACTAGTCCCGACTGTATTAATTTATAGAGGTTTAACTAAATACTGGCTTATGAATCTTATCAGGGACACCTAAAGTAGTGAAACCGGACAAACCTGCGAACATTGAGGTAAGGAAATTATTATGTATTTAATAAAAATCTTGAATCTGCCATTCGATATTTTCATCATCGTTTAAGTCGGTCGATCGATCTTTTATGCAGAAACCAAATGCCAATAAAGTTTCGAATATGTTTGCTGGAACAAGAGACAAATGCCTGGCCTGTAAGAATACCGTCTATCCAACTGAAAAGGTAAGACGAACACCACTAATTTAAATCCATTTCTCATCACTATTTACACGGGTTTATTGCATTTAACACCCCTGCATTTACCGAATCTAGGACTTAGGGGGTTGTGTGCTAAAAATAAAAGCACAGTAGGGAATTTTTTTTGCTAGGGTAAATTACAAACACCCCCCTGAGGTATGGTCAATTTACAACAAAACCCCTCTTGTTTGTATAATTACATCTACCCCTCAAATATGTTTTTTTCTTACACCTCCACCCTTATGGTGTCAAATTCAACATAATCATCTAGATTTCGTGGAATGTGCTATAGTTTGTACTCGTTTTGTGTAAAAATACAGTTTCTGATGCACTACAATCTGATATATACAAGCCAAAAACACATATTATGATCATCTTGCTTCAAAATGTAGAGTTCGAATGGGATAAAACGGGTAGAAAAGTGATAATATTCCATATAATCTCGAAAATTCAACTAAATTTGAGGAGTTGAGGGGGTGGTTGTAATTCTCCAAACAAGATGGGGGTTTTCGTAATTTGACCATACCTCAGGGGTGGTTGTAATTTACCCTTTTTGCTAATATTTATAACACGACGAGTTTTTTAGCAATTCGGTGTAAGACTAAACTCTTATTTACACACTCGACTGATGATAAATTCTATACGCTATCGTGTTAAACACAATAATAATCATAAACGAAACTAAAAAACATATATGGACAGGTGTCAGTGAACGGAACATCGTACCACAAGAACTGTTTCAAATGCAGCCATGGAGGGTGCGTAATTAGTCCATCGAATTACATTGCGCACGAGGGTCGGCTTTACTGCAAACACCACCACATTCAACTAATCAAGGAGAAGGGAAACTTGAGCCAGCTCGAGGGGGATCACCACGAAAAGGATTCCGTCGCACACGTGGTGGTGTAGCTGCACGCACAATCACGGTTCCTTTTCAATATTAAATGCGTATATTATATTATATGGATGCGGTATTCGAAGTGTTTTGCTTTATCCACATCAATATTGGAAATTCTCGAGTTCCGATTTTTTATTTTTTTTATTTTTTTTCGTGTGCTGGATTTGTGATTGATTATTTTTTTTTTTTCGGGCCATAAAAACTTGGGATGTTGAAAAATGGATGTAAATGTGATGGACTGTAATCCAGTTTTTTCGTTTGGCATTTCGATTGCGACAAAAGAATGCTTCAATTTGCAATGCAGAATCACAAACATCGATTAGATATAGCACTGTTCTTTTGGTTCAGCCCTTAATTCACACAGGCATTTAAACAAACACCTAAAAGGCACTCCAAAAACTTAAGACTGATAACTTGATATTACAGCACTACCTAATTTTGAAAATCAAGCCCTAAGCTTTGAAAGAAATTCCGCCATTAATTCCAGTCTAAATGTGCAACTTGCTTTCTTATACCATGATCCAAAAAAAAATTCATAAGCTGGTAAAATAATTAAAAGTTAAACATACCTTCCCAGCAACGAAATCCACCTCGCATTTCTCATCGTCCTGCAAAATTCTTGGAGGAATTCGGGTCAGGTAGTAGCCGTTTCTTCTCACATTGCATTTTAACCACAAATTGCAAATATTTCGTGAATTTTCTATTACCTTTTTCTCCTGGAGTTGAGGAAGAATTTTGATTTGAAACTTTCATAAACCGTTTGTTTAAAATATTTTATTACAAGTAATTTTATATAAAAACTAGTAATACGACGGTGAATATTGTGATAATTGTTTTGTCATATTGTAACACATAATTGAATACATAGAGAAAAAATAATTCTAACAAATTTAGAAAAAAATATGGTTTTTTTATTGTAAATATATATAGGGTCTATTAGATATAACCCCCTTAAACATTCAAATAATAGGGGTAGACCCAAATTTATATTTGTCATTTTGATAACAACCCAAACTTTTCCTAATTACATAATTACCCTCAATCAAATCCCACAAAACCCGTTACTTACCTTTTGAAATAAAATCAAATCCCTTCCTATTTTCCCGTTAAATCACTATCATCCCAAACCCACTATCGAATAAACTGCAAAACCTCCCAGAACAACTTCCCGGTACGGCCGATTGAAAGGGGAAGACGTCTGCACTGCCGTGAAACAACGATTTTCGTGCACTCCGAGCAAGCTGTCGTAGGTACGTCGTCGCCACTCGCCGAATCGCTATCATCCATCGATTTGTTGATATGTTTTGGCTAAATCGACTATTACGTTTGCGTAATTGCAGATCTGTTATAATCGCATACCGAATTCGAGCACTAAATCAGTGATATTGCAACAATTGATGGGCAGGACATCCACCAGAAGTGTTATCGTCGTTGGCCGCCGCCGTCGCCGTCACTGCTCCAATCTAGGGTTACTCAAATCTAGGATTACTCAAATCTAGGGTTTTGATAATTTTTCGGCCCATAGTTGATTAACGAGATGCATAGTCGAATTACATCTGTATTAATATACTATCCCATATCATTTAATAGACTATCCCACTGGTAATATTTTACTATGGATCTCGTTAATCGACTATGGGCCGAAGAATCATCAAAACCCTAGATTTGAGAAGTGACGGCGGCGGATTTGTGTTTTAAAATTAATAGACTATCTCATATCTTTTAATAGACTATCCCATGTATCTAATTCGACTATGGATTTAGTTAATTGACTATTGGAAAAATAATAATATATATGGAAACTGAATAATATGTTTGTTTGAAATACTAATCAATTAGGGTAATTTTCCTTATTATATGAAAACGATTAAGGTAAATAATAATATATATGAAAAAATAATAATATATATGGAAACTGAATAATATATTTGCTTGAAATACTAATCAATTAGGGTAATTTTCCTTATATCATGTAATAGACTATCTTATTGATCTAATTCGACTATGGATCTCGTTTATTTACTATGGATCCCGTATTATTCAACCACATAGTATATTAATAATTTCAATATAGTACATTGATCTGCTATGATAGTATATTACGGTTATAGTAGTGATATGAATTGTGTTACAAACAATATACCACTGAAATGACAAGAACATTGAGAACAACACCAACGTAAAGTATTCCAACATAACCAATAAAATAGTACATTAATAATCTCATAATTTCAATCTAGGATTTTGATAAAATACATAAAACACATCATAACACAATCAAACCAATATGTCGAGTTAAAAAACTCTAGTACATTAATAATCTCATAATAGTATAATAAAATGATAATGGTAGTATCATACGGTATTCATAATAGTATACTACTGTATTACAACGATTTAAAACTTAACCGAAGTGAGCCATTACATCGTAAACACCTCTTTATAGCAACCAACCCACCAAACCTCAACAAAATCCGTACGAAATTCGCCATCGAAAAAACCTAAAATCATGAAACAAAATTAAAAATGCAGAATACTAAAAAATGATTAAATAGACTGCAAATACATTTGAATGACAATAAATTAATATCATCAAAAATAAACTTAAAATGCAAAATCCATATGCTAATTTAAAAAAAACTACGAACTATATTTTAATGTACTACCCAGCACACTTAAATCGGCTGTTATAAACAAATAAACCAACTATCGACCGGGATCAGACTCATGAACTCCACGACAACGGACAGTTATTTCAATTAATGCGTAAACCAACTACGATGTTCATATAAAACAACTCTGGTCCGATATGCGTGAACCATCCTCATCTAACTCTGTCAATCCTCTTCCAAACAAACATCATCCGCCAAAAAATAACGATGTATATATGACGGAATAATTTTGTTAAAAAACGTTCTACTTAATAGAATCAAATATCAACACAACTCTTAAAAATTTCTAACCACCGTAATCGACAATCCTAGACATTGAGCGAAAAATAAAAACGAATAACGCATTCATACCCGGTTAACAACGTCCAACAACGAACGCTCAAATTCGATCCTATTTCAACGACGGTGCAGAAATCTTCAAAGACGATAAAAACCCACTGGAACGCTGAAGAGAACCTTCGAAAAATATTGTACACGATTTGATATAACGGCCAATGATCTCACGTAATTTTATTCCGTGATTTTAGGCAACGTATCAGCAAATCTCAAATCACGTAGTAAAGGAAATAAATGCCGTTTAAAAATAAAACAGGGGTATTAAAGGCAAATTATATAATATATTTTGCCAAGTTGGCAAAATTGGGTCTATCTCAAAAAGGGGAAAAAAAATTGGATCTACCTCATTAGAAAATATGAACAAGGGGGTTATCCCTAATAAACCCATATATATATGGAGTGAATGTTGGTAGTGATCGTTAAAACAAATAAGATGAACATTTTTCAATGATATTAGAAATTTATAATGCAAAGTATATAGCAACCACCTACTGCAAGTCTTAAATAAGTTGAAACTAAAAACTGAAAATGTAGAAAAACAACATAATTAAAATTAACATAGCGACCATATAAATAAAAATCTTGAAACATACACCTAGAGAAAGGTGTTCTTAAAATGAAAACACCACAATAGTTAATGTTATTGTATTGCCGCCAACAATATAATAATGTGGTAGACCATTATGTCATGGTTTTTCTGTTTTGATCCTCTTATATGACTTGGTAGTTGACATTTTTGTAGTTTCATCATTGGATAAATTAGAAGACGCAACTTCTACACCAAATCCTTTACCACGCAATTTAATGATTGGTGTCGCCTTATCATGAGAATCGGTGAAATCCTACAAAATTTATTAAAGGAGGATATATGTTATTGATATGTGTATAAATGATAGAAATAATTGTTGTGTTATAAATAATTCTTACATACTGATTGGAGTCGTCTCATCATCGGGTTCGACAAAATCCTACAAATATTATTGGAGGAAGGTAGATTTCATTAACTTGTGTATAAATGAAAATAATAGTTGTGTTATAAACAACTCTTACATCCAAATTGTCGCCTTGCTGTTGAGCATTGTTGTCGGATGAGTGTTCATCCTCATCAACAAATTCCTGTAGTTAACAAAAATTAATATAATTTTATGATGCAACACATAAACTATATTTGTGGACTTATACCTCCATAGAATGCATAACACGAAACTGTCGAATAAGTTCGTGATCACCCGTCATTGTTTTTACAGTATAAACTGACCAACTTTTTGATATGTTCATCGCACTGATTTCAACCTTGAACAGAAATTGTTTGTTGATGATGGCATCAAATTCTTTAGGAATTGTATCGGTCAAATTATCCTACCAAAAAGCAATGATCAAGGATTTTTTGAAAATTAAATATAAATAGAAGTAATTCAGCATTCCATACGAAAGTGGTTTTTATATTACCTTATGCACGTCACCAATAAGTTCGGTTGCTGATTTGCCCACGATTTTGCAAACGCATTTATCAAACATGACAAACTTAGTGGATCCAGTAGTGTCAAATACCAGTACTTGAAGCCTATACATGTATGTATGAACTTGTGAAACACCATACTTATAGTTATAGGGCAACTCCGATTATGGAAAATTAAATTACCGTGGGATTGGATCAACATCCTTAACCCATTTTGGAAAAAAATAATGAATTATAGAAAATATTTTAATTATTTTCTTCCGACAATTTGGAAAAAAAATAATGAATTATGGAAGACTTTTTGCTACTAAGAGTAATACTTGCACCTATTTTAAATTGTTCAAGTGTTGACAAACTGAGTTTTTCTATAAATAATATATATAAAATAAATTATAATAATAATACTATAATAAATACGTAAAAAAAAATCAGTTCATTTATTAAAATTACCGTGGGATTGGATCAACATCCTTAGGACATTTTGGGTAACAAAATTGTGTACTTGTTTGCTCTACCTTTCTAAAACATTTAGGACAGGCATCATACCACCATTTGGTATCAGGATCGATATCAATTACCTTGACAAGTACAACAACAGTGCGTTCCTAAAAATATAATTTGCAATTAGTTTTGTCAAATTTGAAAATAAGTCGAGGAGAAATAATTTACTTACAGTAGTGCAATCTCTCAAATTATTTATCGTCATTTGCTTCGTTAGCAACAAATCATCTGCAATCCCCATCGATCGATGATTTGATGACACACTGATTGATTGTGTAAATATGCCATCTTGCCTAATGAGTCTGTATATACGTACAAATAGTG